GAGTATTTTATTGAGTATATTTGACATTATGGTCACCCGAAAGTCCCCAACAAGAAACCTCAAACTGCTAAGCTGAATCTGGTGGGGCAATATTTTTTGCAGCTTCAGCCTTGGTGAGATTAGCAGCTCTGGCAGCAAGCTCTTGCACAGATGCCGTCAATTCTTGCTTTCCATTTTTGTGTTTACTCTAAAAAAAAGTTTCAATCAAAACAGATTACAATGAGAGAGAGAGAGAGAGGAGTGGAGTAGGAAATTTGAGACCAAGACACATATACCATGAATTTTACATCTAAAAGCAAATATGATACAAATTGTCCTCACTATCAGAATCTCTATTTATTGATATCACGTAAAAACAGCAAGATGATGCTTTATTTCAATCCCGAACATCATAGAATTTAACCAATCAATGATGCCTCATCATAGTATACTTTTGACATTAACCGCTAAGACTCTCCATGAGCATCTCACCAAGTGTTTTTCTGCCCATGGACAGATTACTTGTTCATCGAAATAAAAACCAAGAGTTGCAATCTCTATTATACTTGTATGGAGTGAATTTCAAACATATAACTTATTGTTTTCAATTTTCATTAAGAAGTAAAAAAGCTAGCTTCGAGGTACTATTTTCACAATTAAAAACAGGGAGTATTCATACTATTGTCTAGCAATATTTTTGTCCATAAAAACTGCACAGAATAGGACCTGTTATCTGTTTGCATTATAGCCCAACATATTAGTTATTGAGCTATTAAAAGAATGACTTGATCATGGGATCCCCATCATTATCCCAGGAGAAGAAATGAGAAGAACTATAGAATGGACTGCCACCAAATCATGGATTGCAGGTGAAAGGAAATTTTATGTCAAGAGCTTTTGAATTGTCAACAATTTCTTATTACAAATGAATCCCAACAACTTCAAGAGAAAAAGAGGCATTCGCCTTTTACACAATGGTTCCTTCAAACTATTCTGTTTTCTTTTTCTTTTTGGACGATGAAGGGCAGTGAATCACTAAAAGAGTGATATGCGGGCATGGGCATTCAACACAATCTTTTTAGTTGAAATGCAGCATCCCATCAATCCAGCCAGACATCAAAATATATGGGACTATGAGCGTATAAATGGGTGCATGTCAGTTTTCCACTTTTCCTAGTGTAGTTGCAAAATTTGACCAACTTCTCCATCCAAGGGTATTCTTCAGCACGGTTGTAAATTTTTTAGCATCTTCGTCATTTTATTTGCACATCCATTCTCCATCAAGAAACCAATTTCGAATCACTGTTCAAAATAGGAGGGAACCCTTACAAGTTACTGAATGTTATGACAAAAAATGTTTTATCCTCAGACCCGGAACACAGCATGCATGGGAAAACCCTACTATGGTAACAAAGCTCTCTGATGCTCGGACTCTTCAAAATGGACGGAGTACCCGTATCGGACACGATACGACACGAGTATGGGTATGGGATATATGTCGAATCCTCCAAGTTTCAATCGGATACTTCATTGTTTCTGCGTCTTTTTTTTTCTTCCCCATTTCTTCTTCAGCGACGACACAAGTTTTTTCCTTCTTTTTCTCCTATCTTTTCTCTTTGCCTTTTCTTCTTTTTTCCTTCTTTTCTCTCTACTAGTTTTTGGCCGTACGATGTACGGGTTTGATTATATCGCTGGTATCGCTAGCATTCCAAATGGGTTGAGTCATGTACCCATAGTTATATATATCACCAAATGTCTCTTACCTAGCGAATTTGTTTAAGTTTATAGATATATATTTTCTCAAAGTCTCCTCCAACATTTTGTTCACTTTGGACATTCCAATTCCGGGCATCCATGTGTGACTGCAATATT